CGTTATTATACAAAGCACTCTGGTTATTGTAGAAGCAATGTTTACCATCGACGATGTCTTATGGAATAACGTTGCTTTACTGTTATAATAAAGATCCTTCAGCACAGTTGTATCGTCTAACCATTTATTTCTCTCTTTCACAACTCGCCGATTTAATTCGCTCGTATGCTGCACTTAACTGCCGCTCGCTATTACAATCATTTCTCATCTTGATCATCGAGGGCAAACTAGCGGAGAAAATGATCGCAATTCAAATTTTAAACACTAGTAAAACTGCCTAAAGAAACTACATTTTCATCTGTTGCTACGCATAGGAGATTGTTACATTAATGAATAGGTACAGAGAAAAACATGGAAACTTTGCAAACTATATCGGTCTTTCATTTCTATGGGTTTTAAGTATAAACAGAGCATGTTTTCGGAATTCAAAACATTCATAAATAAGATATTTTATTATCAGGCTATCACCAGTGAAATTTGAAGAAATCAGAATCTCCACGATTCTGAACTACATTCAGAACTACTCCACGATTTAACCGAACCATTAGCTGTCTTCCATCACCAAGTATATAAGGAATTATTTTTTAAACGTAGGGCAGAAAGTATCCTTGAAATGTACATTATTTTCCATCAAATTTCCAGATGGCGTTAAACGAATACAGTCGATACACAACTTCGAAGTTAAAACCTTTTCTGCTACATAACTGTTTCTATACAATTAGAAACTACTGAGATTCAAAACGGAAAATAATATTGCTTTTTCAATGTTTTTAATGCAATAGTTATAGTTTGAACTGTATACTTTTCGAAAGACTAAATAGTACTGTAACAAGTATTGTCCCTCAGCATCTGGGTCATTGACGTCTATCTCGATCACGGTTTTCGTCCACTTTCTCTCATCCTTCGGGCAAATGTTGAAAAGGACTCTTGTTTGCTTCTGGAAATAAATTTAACTCCACTTTCTGTGGAAGTTTGCTAGAGCACAGTGGAGAATGTAGATATTGAAATAATTGTTCTACATGTTCTTCTGCCAGTAAGACCATTTCGTCACGAAAGACATTATACGAGGCTTAATACCCCAAAACGGAGGTTAATTTGCTTTTTCCTAGATTCTATTTCACGGGAAGGAATATGTTCATACTAATTCTTGCCAAACACGCTCATTGCTTCTTGTATTCATAATTGAACTCAATATGTATGAGTTAAGGCAGAGATCCCAGAGCCCATCGTGACCTTTATTGCACTTCTCCCCACATACGTCACACAGTTTTTAACTGTTTGGTGTTCAATAACTAGTTTCTTAATATTCATAATTATAACTTTTTTTTTACATTTTTAAAATGTGAACAATGCTTGTATAACTATTGAAATTTTCAAATTATTCAAATTTTATGATATTTTTTAAAATATTAACTAATAAAAAAATAAACTTCCTGTTCAACATTAATGTTGGACAGGGAGTTTCAATATACTATTTTATAACATTTTGGGACAATCTCATAGTCGTCAGGAAGGCTAGTAGTAACCTTCATCCATGCGATGTATAGAATTAAATAAACTAAGTAATTGTGCTTTTAAAAGGTCATTTAATTTTAATATTATTTATAAATTTAATTTTAGAGTTCATTGAATGTTCATGGTGGGCGGAGCATATCCTTTGGATATCTTGAACGTTGAATTGAATTGAATTTGCCTTATTTTACGTGGCGAGACTCTCGTCTTTTGCGACAGCATTTTTGTTTTGATTTACCTAATCTGAATGTACTAGTGCAAGGTGAAGCCAAGAGGTTGGAGAATAAGATGGGTAGATTTTTTATTCAAGAGGTTCAATTTGTAATTCTTTATGAATCTACTGTTGAGCTTTCATACCAATGAACTTTAATAATTCTCCACAGATATTTAGTTTCTATTACTTGCAAAATTTTCAAATGAGTTGGGGCAGCGTTGCATCAGATGAGGCCGTCATAACTCAGAGACGATCGATTTATAAATTAGTGTATCAAATTCTATTTTAGTGGAAGATTTAAACTTTATTAACAAATATAATTTTGAAATTTTGGTGTAAGTTTTATTAGTTATTGCCTGATTTTGAGTTACTTTGTGATTTAAAAAAGATAAAAAAGTGAAAACTGAAAAATATTATTAATTTGTTAGTTTTTGATCTAAAAGAACACCAAAATATTTTACGTCCATTAAATTTTAAGAGGGGAGAGAATTGATGTCGACGTAAAGTGAGAATTTTAGCATGCGATTTGTCAATGTTGATTTTTATTCGCCATTTTCAGATCCAATTTTGAAATTCAAAATATATGGAATTAACAACCGGTTCGTCTTCCGCTTCCTATTCTGCCTTGATTGTTGCGATAATTATATGGCCATCTGTAAACAGATGCATTATTGCATACTCACGGCAAACGTCTAAGACGAAACGGCAAACATAACAATTTTGAACTTCAATTACTATGAATCAAGTTGTGCTATTGAAATCAATGAAAACGATATTAGTGAGAACTGTAATGGGTTTTCAAAAACGTTTAATTATTTTTGGAGACTTTGGTCACTGTTTTGCAAAAAAGGAAAATAATGCATATTTTTCAGGGATAGGGAACGGAATACGAGTAATTTTTAAGAAAACTCTTACAGAAAATTATTTATTTTGAAGATCACATTACATAATTTTATTAAGATAGGAATTCCTGTAGATTTGAATTAAATGGAAATATTCTTTATAAAAGAAAGGATTACAACTTGATGAAAAGGAACCTAAGTTATGCCCGACAACACACTCGTTGTTTCATTTAAAACCATATCGAAATCGTCTAAGCAGTTCAGATAAATGACATGTTTAGATTAATGGTTGTTAAAAGTAATTTTATCCAACTTGAGGCTTCACACTTATTTTTGATCGCGTGGTTTATACTAAACAGCACACCAAACAAATCATTTAACTAAAAAAACTTCATGTAATGTCGAATAAGCCTAACTTAAGCGTTACTTAAAAATGATACAACTGTTTGGAGTGTCAGAATACCAGCTGCAATTTTTTGGTTGTCAATTTAATGAGTTAAATTTGAAGGTCCATTGTGACTGGGTCCACTGACGTTCGTGGAAATGATGTGTTTTTAACGGCGTCTTCTCTTTCTCCATCTCATTATCTTTCTTTCTCTCTTTCTGTCCCTTTCTCTACATTTCTTTCAGTAGTTCTTTCTTTCTCTCACTCTCTTTCACACACAATTCTAAATAATTCGTTAAAATTGCACTAAATTTGTTGAAATGAAAATAAAAACAAAGGCTGAGCAAATTGTTTTTGAATTTTTATTTCAAAAATTTGATTTGTTGACTCACAACAATATTCCCTACTTTTTATTGAAACGGAAATGCACGTGGAACATTAAGCGCGTTATTCGCCTCCTGCGGCCCACTGAGTCGCGCCTGCAGAGTCAGGCTCTCCCTCCCCTCCCCCTCCTACACACGCTCGCACTGCACAGCACTTGACAGCAGGCCCCGAGTCCGAAAGTTTTGAATCGATGGCGGTGGTGTGAGTTCAGCTTCAAGGCTCTGCAGTTATCGGTATTACCATTTCTTCTGTTCTCGGTGTTGCTGTCGTGTCCATAGGTTAACTATTTTTCAGAATTACATCATACATATTCTACTTATTACTGTCTACATAAAAATTATAATTCATAAATCTACCTTTAGAATGTGTTACTAAATATCGCGAAATGTTTATTTTATGGTAAACAGAGCAGAAAAAACACACAAACATTCGAATAAATGGAGCCCAGGAACCATTTTTGTTGGACACCATGCAACCGTTTTCCAATAGTAATTCAAAAATTAATTCAATTTTTCGAAATTTATTACAGTTCAGTTCAATTTAAAAATTCCACTTTTCAAACTCAGTGAAGAACATACACAAAATTTACATCAAATCATACCTATGCTAAATGATAAAAATCAAGCATTTATTATGAACAAGATAACGTAATCTAGGGTTGCCACGTATTTATCATAATCGCCAATTACTCAAGATAAATAAATGAATTCTATTTGCAGTGTAAAATGCAAGTAATTTTATTTAGTTTCTCGCCATGCTCCATCTTATTTCTCTTCACTCCGCTTCAGTCCGCTTTATCGCCCTGTCTTTCCCCGCCCCCTGTCTTTCCCCGTCCCGCCCCTTCCTTTGGACGCCTCGCCCGATCTTGCCCGTCCACGCCCCGGCCATGTATCACCTCCTCACCCAGCCCGCACCGCTGCTCCGCATACCTAGATGCAGTGCGGATTGCATAAAAACCAATTTGGTTGAAAAACATTATTGACCGAACTTTAATATCAAAGTATTGTGTTGAACGACTTCAACTTAAGATACATCAAATTTTAAACAAGTATGAAAATCAGGTTATCGGTTGAAAAGCATTCGCAGGACATGAGAACATACATTAATTCTTATAAAGTGTAAACCACGTATATCAATATACCTGCTGGAAATTCTGTCAGTCATGCAAGAGACTGGCTGTCAGTTGAAAACGATCGAAAGTAATTTTGTGACACATGCCAAATATTTGATAAATTGCTTGAAGTTGCACTATGTGCCACTATGTGCTGTATGTTTATTCAGTATACACACTGCCAAAATATTTGGTTAATTAAATTATATTTAAATTTATCTTTAATGATCTGTAGTGAACGAATACAGCGAAAAATAAGGTGTGAGTTTAATTTTTTAAAAATGAACATAATCCACATTTTAAAATCAACATGAACATCGCATGCATCTCATTTAGGCCTTCACAGAGTAATCAGCAAAGAGCATACTACATCTTTTCACGGGCACGGGTGTAAACCATTGTGGTTGTACCCACTTTGCGAGGAGAAAGCTGGGAGCAGTCGCTTGGTCACGCGGATTCGAAGAGGAAGCTCGCCACCTAACCTCAGAGTGCGGTTGGGGGCAGGAGGGGGCGGGGTCGCTCTCTTAAAAGGCTGGCGCGGAGGAGCCCCACGCTCACAGCAGTCCATCTCGCCGACCTCTCCGCTGCGCTGCGCGCCTCACCGCACCTCCAGGTGAGCCAGCCGCCGCCCGGCCCGGCCAATGCAAAGCATCCACGGACCACGAGCATCGCGACGGGCATCCACCTGTGTTACTAATTGCCATTGTGCGCAGGAATTAAAAGAAAAGTGTGCAGCCTCCGACAATGTGATAAGTGTGTTTCGTTAGATACCTAGGAACTCAGAAAAAATATTGTAATAATGAAAGAGTTTCAAGTTTGCCTGGAAAATTCAAATATTTGATTGAGTTACTCCGCCTGCTTTTGTAATAGGCGTAACGACTGAATTTTATAGTCAGTGCCTCACTGCTTACGACACAAATAACGTCATGCGACAGCAAGGCTACAAGGAAGTGGCGTCCCGCTATACCGTGTTGCGTTATGGAACAGAAATGTTTTTTAAGTTATTGATACGTAAAGAACTTTTCAGTGTATGTACGGTATGTATACGTACTGTATGTAAATTATGCGGTTAATTATCAAATTGTGCGTTATGCAAAATGGGTGGTTAATGTCCGAAGTAGACAATACTTTGACGACTTCTGACTTCAGGCCGATCAAGTGTCCAATAGCCGACACAAGGTAGCTAGTGTAGGTGAAGAACCGTTAGGCTGACGAGGAAAAGCAGATAAGTGACAAATAACAATCTGCTGATGAGAAAGTTTCTAAGCTAAGTGCTAGAGCTAGTGAGAGATAAGATGTGCAGTTTTGACTTACACTGTTAGCGGCAAATGATACCACATAATCTAAAATCACTAGATACTTCAGTTGACGCTTTGCTACGCATACCGAATAGGAGCAACGAGATCTCGGTTTTGAGCCGTGACACACATGACCACTCATACTCAAAATAATCACTTTACTTTAGCAAGCTCTCTGTGGTTAGTTCGCAAATTTTCTGAAGTGATACGTTCACCGTCATTCATACAGCATACCGTAATTCAAGCGGTTGACGAGTGTGCTTTACCCAAAGTCCGTAGTTCTAACGCATGACAAATATCATGACAAAATATTCCAAGTAATATCAGGAACAATCAATGTTGCACTTGCAGCAGTTAGAGATATTTTGAGTATTAAGGGTAACTTGTTGCTGTACAAAAGAGTACTCATATTCTAATACTGCAGTTACAATATCTCTTGAATTTATGACTCTGTATAATTGATTTCAAATGCGCGAAGAAATTTAAATTAATCTATGCAGCCTTGCGCCATGTGAGAGGCGTGTTTATGGTGTCGTGGTCCCCAGCGAGCAGTTTCGATCACACAGAATATCGGGAAAAATCCAAAAACAATTAAACAGTTTGGCTTTTGACTAAAAAATGCAAATATTTGATTGTGTTATTCCGTCTATTATCATATTGTGTCTACCGACTGAATTATTATTATTATTATTATTATTATTATTATCAATGCGACCTTGCTTACGATGCTGCTAACGTCATGCCATACCAGGCCGCCCACAATTCAACTCATGCTATTCGGGTGTTGGTTTTTAGAACAGAATTTTCTTTCCATTCGTAGTATCGAAAGGACTGTTGTAGTGAACATATACTACATTTATGTTATTGTAGTATTTATAAAGATTGTTTTAGTTAAATATTTAATTTGTTGCTGTTTTGTTCGATAATATTTTATTCATTTTTGATCAGTGAGTATACTACACTTTGGAAAACCACTTATCTAGCTGGTGGTTATGATGGTGCAAGAAACCTGTATGAAGATGTATATTTAACTTAATTTATAACTTCTACAGAATGTTTTCAAATATTTAAATCCAAATATGTCAGAATGCTGAGAATATGAAATTCTATTATTTACTCTCCCAAGTCTTCGTTTTTCTCGTACTTTCAAACTTAATTGCTAGTTGCATTATGAATATTGTAATTACCCTATGTGAATCATCACCATCGCCACCACCATCACCATCATATGTTAGACTCTGAATTAGACTCTAAAGTACGAGCATACATTCGGTATCGTGTTTTAGACTACTGGATAAACAATAGTAGTATGTAATAGATAGAATTACACAAGTAGTATGTAATAGATGTAAAATAATAACAATGATGATTATGACATAATTAATAATAATAATAATAATAATAATAATAATAATATGTATCATTGATAAAAGTTAATTATTAACCCAACAAATTACGTGAATTACCTATTAATTATCAGATAATGTAACCGAATTAGATACTTCAAATAAATTCAAAAATGCTGCATTTACAAACAAACATAATTCAAAATACTCGTAAATCTGTTTCTTTTCCGTTTCATTAGTTCAGAAAACGTGAGACCTAATGAAATGAACGCATTCCTTATCTTAAATTGCGATCAACACATTGTGCAATGCCCAAACTGTCTCGATTGTATTGCTTTCACGTTTCAAGGTCCAATGCGTGAAGTATTCCGTGGCGAATCCGAAGTTTACGTTGCTCTCCAACGACGCGGATATAGATGGGTGGCGTCACCTGTTTCCTTTCCCGCAGCTAGAACGCGCTTGCATCGACACCGCGAGAAGTGAATATTTACACAACCAAACACGTGCTGAAACTACAGATCTGAACCCACCTTCCCACCAATATGCGTCGACATTAATCCAGGAGTTGGGTTCTTGGTCTGCTGTTCATGTGTTAATGTATTTTATTATCTTCCTTGCATGCGCTCAGAGTGTAAATGGGGTTATAAATCAAGCAGGTAATACATGTACGACAATGGTTTTACTAAAAGAAACAATAACATTTTATGTCTTGAACTTGGTTATCTCATAAATGGAATCATCAATATTAAATGCTTGCAGGAAATGCTTTGTATACGAATTCTCAAAATCCATGTTAGGTGACTTTACTCCTTCACACACATTTGTATAATTTATTATCATGATCTTCAACCTTACTCTTGGGGTATAAAACATCACTGAAACTCATAAAATTCCTAATAGAATCCCAAGAGAGTACTTTTTCAAGTTCTATATTATTAATTTTTCTTGAAATTTTATAATGTCGTAACATGAGTGTGAATGAACAGTCAAGATGTATCGGAAAGAGCTTTACAATTCTCATTTAAAGAAAGAAAACTTGAATTCCTTTAAATGCAAAACGAGGAAAGAAATATTCGCGAGCATGACTTGTACGTTCTCTTACCCACTTGATAGAAAGATACAGTTATGAAAAATACGCTTATTATTAGGAGGTGGATTTTAATGAATTGTAATTTTCTTTTCTCAGTAGTACAATGATCCTTTAGAAGTACTTATATTTAGTACACTTATTTTTAATGGTAATTGATAAATGATCATGATAATTACACTAATTATAACTACACGTAATTAGTATATCTACAGAGTTAAGCATACTCCAAGGTTCCCAATAACTACAGATGGTAGATTTTAGCAATTGATAAAAATGCAAAATTTTACCAAAACTTAGTAATTGTATGTTTGACTGCCGGTAAAGTATATTTATAAAGGTTTCCATGAGAAATCGATTCCATAATGTGAAATGACGTACAAAGTGCCAAATGATCGTGAATATTCGAAACCATTGCTGTGCGTTTTATGGTTTCCTTCGTGTTCGCTCTTTACTAAAAATCCGACATCAAGCATAACACATTTATGTTTGAAGACATTTAATTTGATAGTGGTCATGTGTATTAATTTATAATTAAGATTTAAGTGACAAAACAAAGTAAAAATAATAAAAGCAATTTTAAAAAATAGTCTGAAAGCATAAGCATTCAGGGGCTTCTCTAGGGGTCTCAGCTTTCTCAGTTCACTGTAGGGAGATGGTTACGGTAAGAAGAGGAAGGCCGGCGCACGAGTTATTTCTTGCGCTTTTTATGCCTCTCTTACTTTTATACTTATTGAAATTCATATCTGGGGATACAATAAATTAGTTTCCCTTATTTTCTGATTTTAATGAAAAAAACTGAAAAGCATCAAAGAACGGACAGACGGAGGGACAGGTGTTTCCCCGAAAACCAATTTTTCGGTATCAAGAACTCGTCTACGTAAAAATAAAGATTAATGATCGAAAAGTCGAAACGTTTGCTATTGCAGTGAAAAAAGATATACGTTTTCTATTGCAGCCGAGCAGCGAAGCTATGTGGCGGCCGAATATAAAGACGGGCAGCAGACTGTGTGGGAGAAGACTGGCGTGTCTACGAGAGTCGTTGACGTTTTCGGATACTGATTGTACCTTGGCATTGTGTTTGGATATTCTACAGGCTTAACTGTGGATTGTGCTTCATTGTACCTCTCCTGGTTTAACGTGATTTTGGCTTCGTTTCTGGATATTCTACTGTTCGTAAGCAATCTGCCTGTTAGCTCAATAAAACTTGATGATGTTGTTACATTGTGTATTTCCTGAATACAAAATGTACCAATTATGTAAACATGTGAAATTATGTAGCAACGATGAAAAAGCTGTTTAAACTTTTCAAGCGCGTTAAGCACCATGAATCACATACGTAAATTAGAAAAAGTGCGATTCGAGAAGAGTAGGATCTGTATAGACGCCCTCCACTTCGATGATCGCGTGCCAGACATTATCGGAGCTAAGAAACACTCAGCTTTCGGCGCAGCACTTCAATGCTATTTGCACATCCGGCGGTGCTTGTAGTCTGCCATCAAGTCCGTGAAGGCCGTTCGCGAGATTTCGAGGGGACTTGCTTTGAATCTACTTTGCAGTTGCGGGTCCTTATACTTGACAATTTTTATGTATTCTGTACTACATGCTAAAAACATTCAAGAGAACGAAGTTGTGTTTCTCTTCTATCCTCAAAAAGATAAATTCATGAAAAAAATCTATAAAAGTTTTCCTTCTGTGGTTTTATTACATTAGTAGGCTTAGCGATCGTCAATTTAATGAAAAATTGTTAATACAATTAATCGCGCCCTAAAGATTTTCATAAAGCAGCCAATTCACTTAAGCAGGCAAATCAACAATGTTCCCGTAGGTGCAATGAATCCATAAAACAGGTTTTTTTCTAGAATTCATTCAATGTGCTTGAGGGAACCAACTCAAAATTGTGTCTATCAATCTGTCTTCTCGAGAGCTATTGATTACTTCTGTACATGCCGTAAATCGCCCAAATTGCGTTTAGTTGGAATCTTGGGGATGGATCCAAAAACGAAAGAAAGAAAAGTTCCCCACCAGAAGACTTAGACTCGTCGAATGTCACCAAGTTTGACTCGATTGGTGCACCGGAAGAGGCCCAACCGTGAGTGACGGACAGACGGTCAGACGCATGAACCGACGGACATACTAATCGATTACTATATACGGACATTGCCCATCAAAATAAAAATGTCTCAAAGAGACCGGCAGTTTCTTTACGTCGAGATGCGTCAAAGCTAAAATTCAAATTTGTTAACTTCTTGAATATTATTCCGTTAAAATGAGCCTTGATTCTTCTTACAGATTTTATTGCTTCAACCGCAGAAAGGAAAATGCAGGCGTCCCACGCTCTGCTGGCTATGGCGCTACTGACCACTGGAGCGCTCGTGGCAGCGGACCTGTCCATTCAGATCCTGGAGCCTCATCCGAGTGAGTAATATTACAGGGTGATTCGTCATCGAATAGTACAGGGCACCGAAAGTTAATTGAGATATTGATAACTAAACCGCGGATATTTAGGTAAAACCTATTTTTTCTGGGTGCCTTGTACTAAATGTAGTTTTATATATACATTTTAGGATTATTTAGCCAATTTTGTTTCGCCTAAAAGAGCCTATTTCAACATTTATGCGTATTTGTGCCTATTTTACTTTTAAAAACCGAAAATGAGACTAATTTGCCAAATTTCTCTTTTGTGTTGCCGCACATACTTGACTTTTTCTTCTGTGTCGGCAAAACAAACAAGGATGATATTAATTTTAATTTGCTGTAAGATAGCGAGAAATGAATAGAAAGGACCAGGATCTTGCGATAAAAGTCTCCCTGCCACTGCTACCTGACTTCATGGAAAAGCCTGCCTCCACTTCTAAGACAAAGCGAATGAATTTCCGAAAAAAAAAGTGATCTTGACCGATAAGAGACATTCGTTTTCCCTTGAAAACTTTGAGAAAATTTTAGTAATTTATTGTGAGACAAAACATGGTACAATAATTCTAACTAGGACAAACAAATAAACTTGTTCATAAACAGGATATAAAATAAATATTTAAAATGTGTGTTTAGGAAGTTACCTGTTTTATTTGCGCCTATTCTACCTTTTAAAAAGCCTAACTGAGATGGTGAATTATTTTTAGGCACCTACTTTAGGCATCTAAAACACCTATTTTAAAACCTAAAACTTCGTGGTCTGTTGATAATCGAACGAAAAAACGAGCTAATTTTAGTCCAGAGCCAGCATTGTCTCTGTTTCTGCAGAGACTCTTACTGTGAGGTCCTTCGAGTCCCGACGGTGTCGGATTTTCGTCATTGGCTAGGCTAAGTCGAATTCGGCCGCGCCTGAAAAAATGCTAGCTGTCGGGTACTAGGGTCTGTAGTTTCCTGCAGATTCTCAGATCAAAACCAGGGAAATGTTGGAGCAGAGCCCTCACAAACGGGCCTCGGACCGCGCGAGATCTGCCCTTCCTTTTCCTTGTCCTATTCTCTCCCTTTATTTACACACACACTTACGTGCACTACACAACCACACATGTTGGGATACCAGTCTGGAGCCTAGAGTTTGTCCCGTTGCGTGAGATTTCGAAGGGAAAACACCAGCAAGCCGTCGTGTAGGCCGGGGCCGTATCTAACCATGCGTGGGTTAGATACTCCTCCGTCTTTCGGTATTAAAACATTCACTACACTAACGGTACTAATGACCACATCAATTAACATGCCTGGAAGCCTCAATTATTCGAACGCAAAGATGTTTGTACCGCCAATGCAGTATGCATCGTCCCGTTTACCTGGGGAGTTTTGGGTCTCCTGAGGTGGATGCCATGTGGCATTCTCAACCCCCCTGTGGATTGATTTGTTCAGATTTACTTGTGGATTAACGACCTACAAAAGTTCTCCCTGAGTGATAGGACTTTTGGCCTAAGCACCTGGGTCGTGCCTTTCCTATCTAGAAACCATCATATCAGAAAGTGGTTGGAAGAAAGAAAGCTCTGTAATGGTATCTTCGTGGTCAAGCCGAATCCCTGGTTAACTTCGTCTGAGATAAGGTTTATAACTTCGGGGAGGCGCGATCCACGCTCCCCACCCAGACGAATACGACTGACGCCGTGACGTCACATGGGTAGTCATCACGATAAACGAATCTTTCGCCGGCTACTCAGTGTCAATTAACATTTACTTACCTTTTTGTTGGCCTTTATAACGACATTTTACAGGAAGAAATTTTCAAATTATATTGTATTTTATTCAATCAACAATTAATTTTAACTAGAAAGAGCTGAACCATTTTAAATTTAAAGTATTGCCATATTTAAAATTATTGTGCTTCTCAGATTTGCACTAAATGAGGCAACTAAATGATCCTGCATGCATAACACTATTTTCCATATTAGGAAAATTAATTTCTTAGATAACTTGAGTTAATCACTTGTTTTTTTAAGCACTTCAAGAGGTACATACTGTCAAAAGAAAAAGTAATTTTCTATGGGATCCGCATGGACAATCATACGCTACTTCTAGTTTTACAGGATCAGAAAACAATGACATGGCTTTTCGGTTCACAGGATTGTTGTCAAGAAATTAATGCAATCGCTTCAAAACCAATATTTTCAAGCCCTGCAATTACGGTTTTGTTATAATGGTTTAGCAAATCAACTGTCAATTTTCTGACCGGAAATATGTGAACTACATCTTTATATGATGAAATCATACTAGTAACTATGAACACACAAGCTGTTGATCAATTTTCTTCTTCATTAATGGAAGTTCCGACTGTACTTCCTCCTTTATATTAAAAATTTGACTTAAAGAATATTTCATCCATTAAGTGTACCACAGTCTTTTCCTCTTCATTCGACAAACTGAATGTCTTTCCTACGTACTATAACGCATACTCGAGATTTTTCTCCACTTTGGGGGTGTTGAATTTTGTCAAGAAACTATTTATATGTTTCTCAGTACACGTGCACACGTCTCTAACTAGTGATGTTTTTACAATTTGTTACAAGTGCTCTGTATCAAATTTCCTCTTCTACAAATATGTTCTATTCGCACAAATTTAAAGTATAGATATTATTACACCATAAAATGCATGAAAACACTGTCCTCATGTAATTCTACACACGATTCACAGTTCACTGACTCACACGCAGACCACACTTTTGCCCGTAACCTCCATGAAGACAGGCCTAACAACATATACATATATATCAGTATGAATGAAAATATTTTCTTACCGTTAAGTAAGTCGCTTTTGAAAAATATCATAGATTCATAAATAAATAGGCAAGGCACTAGTAAGATTCCAAGCTCAAGGAAGAGAGGCTTGCAGGGATCACGTGGATGGTATTTTTTCATTATACGAATAATTTACTTTTGCAATCTAAATGTCTGGGTACTACATGATGAGCTTCTCCAGAATATTATGCCTTATCTGGACGGGAATCCACATTTGCAAAGTACACGCAATGAGCTACATGTAGGCTGACAGGCCTTCAGGCTGACTGATAGGAGGCATGAGAGTTTGATAGAGTTCTGAATGCGTAACATAAGGAACTTAATTTAGTGTTTAGTTCTGTTATATGTGTACTCCTTTTGAGGTTTTTAGTGAATTGAGAGACCTAGAAATGTTGTTACCTGAACATCAGCTAATTGCATATTGTTAATTTTCAATGGATATGCGATTGCTGATTAGAAATGCAAAAATGCATTGAAACTGTTTTTTATTCGTTAACTATTAATTTGTTATTACAAAACCAATTTGAAACTTCTAAAATCGTACTATTTATTATTTCTTTTTTGCAAAGAACATTCGTGTCTTCGGCAAACATAACCATTCTTTCGTTTTTAATAGACGACGGCATATCGTTTACGTAAGAACATAGGACCTAAAATCGAGCCTTGTGTAACCCCATATTCAATTGATAAAGAATTGGATAGATAAGTAAATAATGTCCTTTCGTTTCAGAACGGTATTTCTACTCTTTGATATCGATGTTAAAGGTACGAAGTTATCCACTTTAGGGCGATACCAGGAATTCAATAAGATAATTTTGATGGCAAGATATGGTCAATAAAGTCAAAAGCTTTCGAAAGGTCTACAAATATTCCAATGAGTGAATCATTTTGGTCCATTGATGAAGCGACATCTTAAAAAATGGCAGTTTCCGTAGATTTTGATTTTCTAAACCCGTGTTGTGAGACTGAAAACGCTTCGTTTTTCCTGAGAAAAGTTTCCATTCGCGTGTAGAAAAGCCTCTCTAATATTTTAGAGAAACCTGACAAAAGAGAAATTAGTCGGTAATTTTGAATTTCATTTTTGCTCCCTTTTTTAAAAAGTGGCTTAATTTTGCTGTTTTGGAAATAGCTGTAAATATTCCTGTGCATAAAAATGCATTGAAAATGTGAGTTAACGGGTGTATAAATGCAGGTACACAAGTTTTCAATAAACAATCCGGAAATTCATCTAAAACAGATGAATATTTATTTTTAGTTTACTGACAATTAGTAAGATTTCGTTAACAAAAGTTTCTGGAAAAAAATCGTATCGAAATTTTTTTGGGAAGATAATGGTGTTGAATTTGACGGTTTTAGTCCCTTCGTAAATTCAGCCGCTATTCTAGAAAAGTGTTGGTTGAATAGATTTGCCACTTTTTCCGGACTCTTTTTCATTATCCTTTAAAACAACATTCTCTACTAAGTAACGAGATGATGTGGTCGTATTTTTTACGATATTCCACATTGCTTTAGTTTTTTTACTAGCGTTTAAAATATCATGATTATTTTTCATTATTTTTGCCTGAACTATTACTTTTCCTAAAATTCTCTTGTATTCTCGGATGCAGACATGGAAATCTGGTGATACGTTATGATGTTTAGAAAGAAAGTAAAGCGTACGTTTGGTTTACACGATGTTCTTATACTTTGTGTGATCCAAGTATTATTTTTCCTTGTAATATTTAAATTTCTCTTTTTGAGAAGAAAACATACGTTAAAGAGAAATGAAATTTTTGAGAAAAATAGATTATATTTATCATTTGTGTCAACAGCGTTATAAACTGTGTCCCATAATTCCTTCAGCAATTAGTCCGTAAATAATTTTATGTTAACTTTAGTGAATGCTCTGCACATGCGTGAATAATTTATGTCAGTGTTCATGTTATTAATAATTGTAAGAATTTGTGCATCATGGTCACTGCTATCTAGATTAGTAGTTTTTATTTCATATTTAGTTGTGGTTTTGTTAATAATAATTTGATCTATTGATTTTTGTGATTTAAATGTATTCCGTGCAGGTACATTCACTGTATTATCTAATTTAAAAGAAAGCAGTAAATTGAGAAACTCCTTTTTTCGTGGGATTCGCTCAGAAAATCAATATTATTTATTATTTATTAATCAATATATATTATTCAAATATATATTATTTATTACTGTACAATAGACTCACTACTGTTCTTGCTCGGCTTTTGGTTTACAGCATGGCGGGAAGAGCCCTACGAACCGTGACGTCACGGTAAATGTGGACGTGTACTTGAGAGGCCTGTTTATTATAACGAAAGTTTCGTTTTGCCACGATGTAAAGTTATAACTACAAGTGGTGACGTCTGAAGCAAGATGACCGCCTGCCAATAGGCCTGATGTTTTAGATAACATTGCTTCTTACATTTCAAAACAACGCGCGATGCTCACGGAACTACAAAAAAATAAAACATTTGAAAATCATGACAAACATCCTATGGTACATAAAAAATAAATTGTTAAATATCTGAACAGCTTTATCCTTCATACATCCTTAGCACACTTCTTGCAAGGCCCACTCCGTTCTCAAAAGTTAAGCTTAGCAATAATACCGACCGAAATACAAATTATGAGATGCTCCATATAATAAAATGAGTTCGTTCAGATCGATCAGGAATATTAATTTTGGAGAAATCGCCAGAACAGTTTAGGAACTAGCATTGACCACAAACGGACAGGACAGAAAAAGACAGACGTTTTGCAGTCAATTTTTCAATGTCACGCACTCACAAAACATGGATTCTGATTCTACACCGTGTTTGAGAAAGCAATTTTCTACACATGTTGGTAGAAGGTTTAACTACTTTTTCGTTACCAGAGCTCGACAATAAGAGTTTTTCTGTTGAAATATCACCATTTTCCCCCGTATCGTTACAATACCTTCTCTATATTGCAAAAACAGTACGCGAGAGAGTAAAATATTATTGAAGAAAAAAGTATTGTAAAAATGTTGATAATCATGTTTTGAAGTTGTCATATAACAGTTTATTATAAATTATTATAAACTTGTGCTAAAAATATCCCCATACTTACGACGCGAGCCGTGGGCGAAAGTTGACACACCTGCCGGCCCGTCCCTCCCGCCCCCCGCCCCGCACCCCCGCTTGGGCGCTACCGCTGATAGCAAGGTGTTTATGTGCGCGTGTTTATACTATTTGCAGAGCACCCCAACGCGTGCTACGACGCGGACGCCGACAAGGCCTACCCCGTGGACAGTAGCTGGTTCGTGCCGGACCAGTGCACGAAGGCCACCTGCAGTAAGGACGCCAACTCCAACAAGTTCGTCATCCAATACATGGGGTGAGTCGTCTTTCCAAACTAGAAAATTAATTCATCTGAATGCTAAATGACTTTCTTCATTATACATGGTGACACAGAATAAATGTTACCACATATCTGGGAATATAATTTGTTTATTGTAAATTTTGAGTAGGTCCCTTTCTCCCTAAAATTAATGACGGCGTCGCAGAGCTCCCTACCAATGCTGCATAAAAACGTCGCACTAAACGATGAGCAGCACAAGGCAAATAAGTCAAGGCCAAAAAGACAAGCAACATCAAGATAATAAATTGTGATCCGATATGTAGTGATTGTATGAATAACAAAAAATACAGGCCTAAAAGATAATCCAGAGGAAAGACGAATTTTTGAGTAATCTACGCAAGACCATAAACATTTTCGGCCACAAATAAAACGGTAGGCTGCGAACATGAAAATGAGTCTGCGAACATCAGTTCGTAATTCGGTGAATGAATCTCTTTATTGATAGAATTTTCTTGTTCTACATGCGTACATATGGACTACATGCGTTATGGACATGTACGTAAATAATAATTTATATACACTGAAGAGCTCAAAAACTGGTACACCTGCCTAATATAGTAGGGCCGCTGCGAGCACGCGGAAGTGCCGCAACAGTCGTGGCATGGACTCGACTAATGTCTGAAGTAGTATTGGAGGTAATTGACACCATGAATCTTGCAAGGATGTCCATAAACTCGTAGGAGTACGACGGGGTGGAGATTTCTTCTGAACAGCACGTTGCAAGGCATCCCAGATATGCTCAATAATGTCATGTCGAGAGATTTTGGTGTCCAGTTGAAGGGTTTCAATTCAGAAGAGTTCCTGCAGCCACTCTGTAGCAATTCTAGACGTGTGGGCTGTCGCATTGTCCTCATGGAATTGCCCAAGTCCATCGGGATGCACAATGGACATGAATGGTGGTGATCAGACAGGAAGCTTACCTACGCGTCACCTGTCAAGAGACGTATCTAGACCCCGGAGTCCAGATATCACTCCAACTGCTCACGCCCCGTACTATCGCAGAGTCTCCATCAGCTTCAACAGTCCCCCGTTGACATGCAGGGTCCATTATTCATGAGGTTGCCGTCATACTCATACATGTCCATCCGCTCGAAACAATGTGAAACATTACTCGTCAGACCAGGCAACGTGTTTCCAGTCCTCAAAAGTCCAATGTCGGTGTATACGGGCCCAGGCGATGCGTAAAGCTGTGTTTCGTGCAGTCCTCAAGGGTACCCGAGTGGGCCTTCGGCTCCGAAACCCCATATCTAAAATGTCTCGTTGAATGGTTCGCACGCTGATATTTGTTGATGACCCAGCATTGAAATCTGCAGCAATTTGCGGAAGGATTGCACTTCTGTCACGTGTAATGATTTTCGTAAGTGGTCGTCGATCCCGTTCTAGCACGATCTTTTTGCGGCTGCAGTGATTCCGGAGGTTTCATGTTTTACCGGATTCCCGATATTCACGATACACTTATGAAATGGTCGAACGGGAAAATCCAAATTTCATCGCGACCTCGGAGACGCTCCGCATCGCTCTTGCGCCGACTATAACACCACGTTCAAACTCACTTAAATCGTTAAAACTGCAATTGTAGCAGCAGTAACCGATCTAACAACTGTGTCAGACTCTGGTTGTCTTATACAGTCGTTGCCGACCAGAGCGCCGTATTTTGATTGGTTCCAGATCTCTTTATTTCAATGCGCATGACTATACCATTTTCTTTAGCTCTTCAGTGTACGTACTATAGAGGTGATTATGTAATGCTGGGGAAATTCGATTTCGAATTTTAACAGAAATACACGTTTTGCGGTACCATGACGCGGAAAAAATGGTTGTTGTTTCGCAAAATATCCATCCATCCATCCGTGAACAACACAAACTAGGTGCCTTAACAATTCGCAGCATTTCTTCCAAAATAACTATTGCATATTCGATTAGGACAAACTGAAGCCTTGCGACTTTGAAAATTTCTGTACATTTTGGGGTACTTCACATGAAAACTCTCGGACATTTTAAAAATTTCCTCAAAAAAATCAAAAGCATTCTGTGCAATTGAGCTCACAACTGCCATTTTCAGAAACGATCAAACGAATTTTGACAAAAACGTCCCTAAATTTGTTCCCAATCAAAATTTTCATATACCATGTTGCCAGATTGCCAGGTTTTATTCTTCTATAATATTCTTAAAGTCATATATTAACTTTACTGCAAGCGACCGAAAAATTGGGACAATGTGAATAAAGTACGTGTTTAAATAAAATGTTATTTAGCCAAAATAAATATTACAAGAAAGTACACTATACCATTGTATTGTAGCTGATACATACTGTAGTCCAAAATGTATCTGTATAACAATTTGCGTAGTGTTGGTTAATTTTTTGTTAATGTTTTTTCAAGACTGCAACGATATATTTTAAAGCTGAAAAGTAACTTTACTTGCATTATTAAAACGCAAAATTTTGAAGTGTTGAAATTCACAGAAATTAAATTTACTAGATTTAAAGATGCAACGTACATAGGCTTCACATGCGTAAAAAGATCCGTTTTAGTTATAATAATAGTTTTATCAAATTATTGTTGTTACTTAACTGTAGCACACTTAGAAATATTTCGGTCAAGTTATTTAAAACAGAATGTGTTCTTTATAAAGCAATTATTCTCCCCTTTACAATTTATGCACGCTCAATTCGAAACAACAAATTTGCCTCAAATATAAAGAAAATGTAAACCTTCCAAAATAAAATCCTGCATTTGTCTGCAAACTCCCCTTGGTTCATGAAAAACACGTCTACATTCAGTGTTAAGAAGAAAAATTATCCCTCAAACAATGCTCAAATGCACAATTCCTTTTTTTACCTGTTTACATATTTTACTAGAATCGTGGTTCATCTGCAACATCACGGATCAAAAATAAATTGCCTGTGATAAATATTTAATTCAATTCATTCCCTACTCTCTTGGCCTAACTGGCAGCTGTCTCTCTGTATATAATTGACGGCCTGGATCCCGACACCCAGGACATTGGTACAAGCAATGACCAACCAAAAACTAATAGACACCATGGGCCAATAAGGCTAGATTCAGAACTGAAATAAATGTATGCGGTGCTCGAGAAGCGCACACTGGGCATATCCCTTCAGGACCAGCAGATACCGTGAGAGGTCCTGGGAGGTCTTTTACGCCCCGAAAGATGGCAGCTGATGGGAAAATCGAAAGGCGTGCCCCAAGTCAAGAGAATTGGAGACTAACTAGAACGAGAAAGTATGTACCATTCTGTAGCCTAACTAGTATCCTTTGACAGTGTTATGCGTGTACCTTTTAATAGTTCATACTCATATTTGTTTAATAAACGTTGGAAGTAAAACATATTTGCGAAAAAGTCGTTCCATGCCAATCCATTCTGTCTAATGAAGAAAGTATACACCATATTTAAAGCCAATTATAAACGTCTATAATAGGCGAGTATAGAGTGAAAACCCAAATACTGTTTGCTCTAGTAGATTTAAATACAGTATTTGTCTGGCGAGTAAAATCGAAACAATCTGTCAGCTACGAATCGTCTCAATAAAAGTCATTCTCTCTTCAAAATTTGTTTAAAAACTTTGGTATTACATGATATCTTAAAACTGTTGCTAATTTATTCTGTTACCGAGACTGTGACTGCATATTCTCATTTTCCCTTTTGAAAATTCTGAATTTTTGTTTTGTTTCTATTCTCATTTTTAAAACTAGAGTCTGCGTTAATAATGTATAGAATACTGAGAGTGTCTCTGTTTCAGTTGCGGATTGATGGCGACGCCTCCGGCTCCGTGTAAACTGGAGACTAACAAGAAGGCCCAGTACCCAGACTGTTGCCCCAAAGTCGTGTGCCCCTGAAGAAGTCCACGACGGGCCATTTGCCGATAAATAATTCCTATGTGCTTTGTTAACTTGTATTCCTACTCATACCCCCAACGAATTTAATTGAAAGATTGAAATTCAGAAAATGATATTAATAGCTGATCCTTCTACGTAACAAGTGGAGGCTTCTATTGGTCTAATTTGACAACTGAAATTGAATTTAATAATAGAAAAAATTACTGTCGGAATTAGTGAAAATCCATTGAATACATAACAAGTAGTTCAGAAAAATTAAATGCAAAGTTGATTCACCACATCGAAGATTCTGATAAACCTCTCTAAATTCACGGGCAAAATCTTTACATTCAGACCATTTCCTTCTCCACTCCCATCCATTAAAAAGAGTATTAATATCATTCTATGGATATCACACCACAAACCAGTTAAAAACCTTGACCTTCGTGTAAACGCTACCCTGAACTAGACAACGCACAAAGTACACCCCAACGTACATCAAGCAAAAGCCAAAATACTACTTGACACTTTGTTAAGATGTTATTTTGAACATAATTAATTTTAAAAGAAACTAATCTCGTAGTTGACGAAAGACGATACATTTTGTTAACTTTTGCCATTTTCAAAAATTTAGAGAGGTCAACGAAAATTGAATGTGCGCAGTTTTTATAGGTGTACTATTTTTGTAAGCGTATTTTGAGAGAAAAATAAAGAAAATATTGAACCCTTTTAACAAAAGCTTGTTTTTAAAATAGACTTTATTTCAAGTAAAATTACACGTAAATTAGTCATTTTTTTAAAAAGTTGATGATCTGATAATGATTTTGAAAAATTGATGATGAAAAGTACATGATCTTATTTAAAAATCTAATTTTGAAGAACGTATTTCCTCATAAAAATCCCCATCTTCAATATTGAAGTTCTAGGAAGACGTCAAAAAAAATTTTAAGTTTCGCCCTTTCTGGAAATCAGGAAATTTAATGAAAATTGGACCCACGCCATTTTTAAGCGTTCTTTGTTCTATCCAAGAAAAAATCAAAAACGTTTTAACCGTTTTTTTAAGTCTTTAAAATGTTTGTTGTGTAGTATCCCTATTATGTCTAGGAAAAGAGGAGACAGAATGGGCCTGAAATAAATCCAAAACAACTGAAATTTATTCCAAAACATGCACAGTGGAAATCCAAGACAATTTTCCAACGACAGTCCCTACGTGTGCAGCACCAGTCAGTAATAATCCGTGAGAAGATTTTGTTGGATAGAACCCAGTGGTCCACAGAAGAAATAGAAGGACTTAGCGCTTCGTACTCCTCCCTCTACCACCCCTCCCTGCCTCTGTCGTGGCGCCACCGTCGGCCTCCAGAGGTGGGGAGACAGTCGAATCTTTGTTTGGCGATAGAATGATCTTGAAGTAAACAAAATAACATAATATTTATCCGTGACTTCTCACCTCATCGGTCGATTGCTCCAGGCCTCCTTCAATGCTAACGATCTGTCAGAAGCGACCACGCTAACACCAGACCGCCTGCGATACAAATACGGCAACTGTTTCCAGAAGTGACACTCCTCATCTCGTTTTACAGTCGCCATTCCTACTGCATAGCAGGCTCTTTCGGAAGCGGCTCAACACTCTCATTGCGTTCGCCAATGGTATCTTCTTCAACCACGCTAGAAAACACGCTTAAAACAATAGTTCTTTCGACTCGAATCAATCTCTTATGCTTTATAGAAGGGGTGCTGCCACAACATCCGCCATCATAGAAAGAAGCACAAAAAATTAAAACTATATTAATTAATACTGCGCCGATCACGATGCACTACTGAGCGAATACATCTGCTCTCTGCTCTCGAGCCCCAATGAACAGTTTGGAGCTTTTGTTTTGAGCCAACCGCCGTTGTAGCTGTCAGCATCGGACGATGAGTAGGTCTATAGGTTCCTTCTCAGCAATTACTCGACGCATTTGAGAGAGCCGGCATACTTCAGATCAGTGGCCTCATTCAGAGTTTCCAAAAATAGTTGTCTGGATAATACAATCGTTTTCCTCTATCTTTATGTACACACTTTGTATTTTCAAATTTGTATATCAGCGAGGAAATTTGTAATTTAGCTATGTAGTGTTTCCAAAACCGAAACTTACATGTGCACACTCGTAAATTTAAGCAATCAATAAGAGGGTGTACACAATACGTGCATTTGTTTACATTAGGATCACTGGAAGCCTGAACTGGCCTGGCTAAATGTACCGAAAAATACTTGTAGGAAAACTCAATAGATTGCAGCAGTACTGACAGAGGGGAATTTACTTTACCGATAAAGTCTGAACCAATGATCCGATTTTCGATCTGTAAACGTCATTTTACGCCTTTTTAAAATATAATTTACGCTACAAAGCCCTTTTTCCAAAAAAAATAGCAAATACTCTAATTTGAAGTTGGTGCTCGAACTTCCGAGAAATAAAATAAAAAACTGTGAACTTATAGCGCGATGGCGACATGCTTCCTGAATTCAATGCTATATCAATCATGCAAATCGGATGAATAGGAGCGTCGTAAAGTGAAATTTGGGGGAAAACCTCGTCCCCCTCCCCCTTCCCCTTCCACACCTGTGCGTCATCCTGCCGTTGTGGACCCTCTCTCGACGCGGCGGCACGGTCAGCCCCGGCGGCGTGCGGCCTGCCCCGGCAGAGGCCATACTTGCGAGACAAGCAAGCCAGGCAGTCGGATTATGCTTTCGTCACTTTGCATCTCAATATATTTTTTCTCCACATTTCAAAGTAGTGATGCTGTAACGGAATCAATGGTCTTCTATAATCTGTAATAGCAGTATAAAACTATATTGT